ATAACCCCGACATACGATCCGCTCCACATTTATCGGAGAGCCCCTCTCTTCCGGAATTCCTGGCTCCATCTCTGCGTTTAGTAAAACACAGATGTATATTTACGTAGGTAAATACACGAAAGCGTATATAATGCATACATTGTACATCGTTCATTATCTATTGCACAATATGCATCACACATTATGTATGGTACGTACATTATCAAAAGTAGGATAATAAGGTTTGTCATGATTAATTCCTGATATATATATATATGTATAGTATAAATCGCATTGATAACCCACATGTAGGTATAACCCGTTCGTGGAACTCATCCAACCGAGTAATCCACTTTTGACTTCCTGGGTTTTACGACTCCTACGGAATGCGGATACGCTGTATATGAGTTATATCAGGAGATATTGATAGACTCCTGGTTATATCAGGGGGAAAGCAAAGGCTGGCTACACGAGCACAATATAAACTCATAGAGCAACACGGTGCTAAGTAAAATACCTATGTTCTGTTCTCAGACACGGTGTACAAATTAATAACTAAATTACAATTATTACAATATATATATATATATATATATATTGATGATAATGTAATTATATATATATATATAATTATATATATATATATATATATATATATATATATTATTACAATATATAATATATATACAATATATAATATATATTGTAATAATTGTATATATATAAAATATAACAAATTACAACTAATTTATAATCAAATGTTGTCGTTGTACATGCAGTTATGGCGCGAAATATATCCGTTAGCTTCTGTGTTACATATATGTCTATATACATATAGGTTCCTGATCGTTTGGTCGGTTTCGCTTGCAAGTCGCATGTCCACCATCCTAACGAAACACAAGAGTACACCTACCTCCCCAAAGACCACGGCGGAAAATATTCCATAATATTACCAGGTATGGCGTGCGTGTGGTTGACGCAGTGTTGAGCATTACTACTGTACACACACATTACTGGTACCCACGTGTCAAGAATCAGTGTTTAGGTATACAAAATAATATAGTAAATAAACTACATGAATTTCATTGATGCATTCATTCATTCATTCGTTATATTATTATTATGCTAGGTTTACATTATGTTCCCGGCGGCCACGGCAATCACGTTTCAGGCCACCGTGGACAAAACGGGATGGACGTGAGACAACGCGGGGGGACGGAATGGGCAAACGTGACAGGCCGTGATTGCCGTGGATGCCGGGCCAGATTTTTAAACTGTCAAAAAATTTGCCACGGCAGTCACGGTGCGGATGAGAAACTTAGTAGGCCGTAGTAAAACGGGGTGACCGCAACAAAACGTGACAGTACGTAATAGGCCGTAACAAAACTTGGAGGCGGTCCATAGTGGGACGGGAAGCATGTGTATTCCCCGGCATCTGACGGTCCTTTCAAGTTTTGTGACGTTCTGACGCGTTTAGTGCGCGTTTTGTCACGGTTGCTTCACGGTTGCTGCGCGTTTTGTCCCCTTTTGCCACGTATTGTCATGGTTCTCACGGCAAGCTAGGGTGTATGGTAGCCGTTTTGTCGCGTTCAATCACAGCGCGCCCCGGCGTGTGACGGTTTACGGGCCCGGCGCGCCACGACCTTCTGTCTTCCGATAACCATTCGCGCACCCACATGGATCTTGGCCTTCTCATCCGCCTTCTTCGCCTTCTTCCTGACTGCTGCACTCTGGCCTTCCCTCTCTGCAACTGCTGCTGGCCTTCTTCTTGCAAAGACTGGATGTATGCACCCAGCAAACATGCAAACACAAAATCTTCTTCATCTTGGGCATTTATGATGTTGTCTCGTCGAAATCTCAGGATACAATGATTGCTATGGCTTGAGAAGCCTTCTTTTTATACAAGGGGCACAAACGTGCTCCAAAGTGCCGCGTCACGTTTCATCCGTAGAAAGCTTGCAGACGTGAAAAACGTGTCAGACTTCGATCAGACGTGAGAAACGTG